AAGATGTCTACATGATCTCTTTTGAGCATATGCCAGACCAAGAAACCCCTGTAAAGGGGTGTAGTTTCGTTCAGTATCAAGAAGTTCAAGTTCCTTCAACCAGTTGTAATAAATGCTTCTTTCGGTTCAATGAATATTCTCCTCGTCACCAGTAAAGCTACCACTAAGATCTGGTCCTTCAGATTCGTTTCATACATCTTGATTTTCGTCATTCACCTTTCTTTGTCGTAAAGTTTAAGTGTTTTGAAGTCCATAGCATGAAGACAAATGTCGTAAATCAAGTACAAGATAATAAACATGTTACCTTAACTCTCTATGATATCTTTATGCTCTTTGGATCCCACTTACCCTTATCATGTTTTTTTTTTCTACTTTAATTTTAAATATTAAGTTTTTACTTATTGTAGATAAATTACATGAAAAAGTAACGTACTTTACTTGATTTCTATTTGAGTAACATACTTACAAAACTTCCATTTTGATAGATAAGATGTAAAGTTTTAAACATTTAAGTACCCGAGTAACCGGTTGAAGCATTAACCGGTTACCATGCTGATGTTACGAGTGATGTGGTATGCAACTCAGTATTATTTGATATTCAACATAATTTCATCTCATCACTCGTCACATCAACATGAGAACCGATTAATACTTCAACCGGTTACCCAAAAACTTAAAAATAATATAGAATTTTTTTATAGAAATGAGAATGGTTAGAATTGAAAATGGTACAAGCGATTGATGTAAGGAAGCTTCTGATGTTAGCTTTTTGTATGTTGTACATCAACTCATGATATTTGGTCAAACTTTGGCTAAACAATTATTCAACATCAGAATTAATTGGACCCACAAAGGACAACCCACAAAATGAGCATATAAATATCATATATAATTATATATATATATATATATATATATATTTAGAGTAAAATTGCATGAAAAAATAACGTATTTTAACTTTAAAAACTTTTATTTTGGTACTTAATATGTAAAGTTTAAATATTTAAGTACTTGAGTAACTGATTGAAACATTAACCGGTTATTATACTGATGTGGCTAATGATGTGGTATCCAACTTAGTATTATTTGCTGACGTGGTTACTGGCACTGATTTTTTTAATCTAAAATTAGTCTTTTTTAATCTAAAATTAATCTTCAACTCGTTACCCGAGTACTTAAATGTTTAAAACTTTACATCTTAAATACCAAAATTGAAGTTTCGGAAGTACGTTACCTAAAATAGAAATAAAGTTAAAATACGTTATTTTTTCATACAATTTATCCTATTTTTTATTTTATATTATATATATATATATATATTAATAATTAATTAGTGATGAAATCATATCTAGAAAAAAAGGGTTTGATTATATATTTTTGATATGCATAAAATACTTTTTCAAAGCAATTGGGGTAGTTTGTTTTATGAGGTTAAAATACGGTTTTTTACCGTATGATATATCAGTTATTATATAAATAATTTACAGATTCAAATACCCAACATAGTTAAATTAGTCATATGAAGATGAATGTTATCATGTTTCACTTTTTAATCACAAAAACAAAGAGTGGTTGGTGTTGGTGTCAATGAGATGCTCGAGGGGTCGTTATCCCCTCAAATGGTTTCAAGTGTATTTCTTTTTATCTTTTTTCTTTATTTTGTCATATTGTTTAACGGATGAGGTTGAATATATTGTCGTATAAAATTTTAACAGAATAATTTTTGTACTGTTAGACGAATTTGCATGGTCCAACGTAGATAGAGTCGCGTTTATATTACCAAACTCGAGTCGTTAACACAATCATGTTAGACTTGAAACCAAATGCCATCTAGGCCACCATTAAGTTGGCATTAATGGCATTAAGTGGTTTTGATGTACTTGAACAAAGACCCCACCCCCTCCACCATATTGTCCTCAATGGACCAAATTTCAAGGTTTAAGTAATTAATAATGGAGTTGTTCACGGGTGGGATGACCCGTTAGATCCGTCTTGTTCGGCCCGTTAGAAAAAGTTGACTTGGATTATGATTGTTGAAGAAATGGGTGGGCTTGGATTGACTTGTTAAAATTAATCGACGGACATGGGCAATGGAAAAAAAATATATGGGCAGGCCCGCCAGACCCATTAATATTTTCATAATAAATAACTTTTATAATTAAAATTTATAAATAAAATTAAAAATTGTTAATACTTATCAATTTCTACTTAATTATGACTCATGGTAATAACATTTTTTTTAAAATATTAAATTTGAAAAGATAAGTATTTCAATTGATCAATTTCTTATTATCTCATTTAGTCATTTTCTTTATTGATACTTCATATTTAGCGAAACAATTTCTTTCTAAAGTATGTATATTGTTATGTATTTACGTAAGTTGGAAAAACTGTTATGTATTTTGAATTATTTTACATAACTTGTGATTTTATATAATTTTGTTTTCATAAAAATATAACAAGATTTTTAAGCCTGTTAGTCCATGGGGCAAGCCTGGCCCGTTTATAGGCGGGTATGAGTAAGTTTTCAAGCCCGAAAAAACATGTTTGAATTTACCATATTAGGCCCGTTAGACAAAAAAATAGGTTAAGTTCGGCCCGAGTCTGACCGAAGCCCGCAAATGATCAGCTCTAATTAACAACATTATATTAGTCATGTTGTGTAACAACTGAAATACATATGATTGGGTTTCTGTGAGGCCAACTACTTTCCACGAGACATTTTGTGAAGATTCCGTGAGTGCTTCTGGTGAAGTTTTCTTGTGTGCTTCTGGTGAAGGTTTCTTGTGTTTTTCCTATAAATATTCATTTCTTTTTCATGTGAAAGTTTGGTATTTTGCTGTGAAGATTCAGTTTTTGTTGTTGTTAAGATTTACTGTTTTCCTGTAAAGACTATGTAATTTTTACTGTAAAAGTTCAGCAAAGACGAACACATCCGAAAATTCCAAGTTAACACGAAAACCGACTTGTATCTCTTTATGTCACATAAAAATTTAATACTTAATATATATATATAATTTAATATTCATAGTATATCATTATTATTATTAACTTGAAGGTCGCGCAATGCAACAAGATATATCTCGATTTCAATGTTTCATTTTATTTTGTTGGTCTCCGTCGATGTTATAATACAAATTTATGTGGTTTTAAGCAAACAATAATGTTTTTCTTATTAAAATATAAACTTGGAGATATCACAAAAATTAAAAAGTATATATAAAAGTTCTATTTTTTTTTTAATTTCTTTAATTCAATTTTTTTATTATAGTTTAATTTAGGTTTAAGGTTGAAGTAATTTATTTTTGGTTTAATAATATAATTTTTATAAAGATAATAATTAAGTATTCTGTTAGAACTCAATAATTATCCTAATTATATTTTCGATATATTTAAAATGAGAACTTTATCATATATTTGATTATATTTATCTACAGATAGTTACACGAATTCAAATATGGAGCTTAATCGGTTGTACTTACGCACAATTACCTGTAATCTTGAATTTTAAATAATATATATCAATAAACAGTAATTCATGTATAAAAGATGGTTTTTAAGAGTTTTTATCAAATGCTTTATAATATAGTATACATGTATAATCTAGATTTTCTTTTAATAATAAATTTCATTTTCTTATAAAATAAAACAACTCATTAAAATTGTGAGGCACACATTACCATATGGCGTATCAAGTATTTCGTCTAAAATAGGGCTTGGGCCTTTTGTTACAAGCCCAGTAGAAAAAATGTTTGGGCCTTAACAAATAAATTTTAAAAAAATTATTATTGTTTTTACTAATAATTCGCAGTTGATCATATCTAGTATGGATCATACATGGACAGTAGTTTGTGTCGGCGGCTCTCCTAGAGTTCCCTTATCGGAGATCCATAGGGAAGACGATCAAGTTGGCCCTTGCAAACAGTCTTATGCACTATCTTCCTTCAACACTCTGAGCGAAATGCAGCAAAAGGAAGGAAAATCCATGGACTGGTCTACCAGTGCAGTATTGTAGCAAACGCGTTAAGTATCCCGCTTGGGGAATGTGTTCGCAAGAACAAAACTCAAAGGAATTGACGGGGGACCACATAAGGAGTGGAGCATGTTGTTTAATGCGATACAAAATGAAAAATTTTACCACAACTTTACATGTCGTGAATCCCAGGGATGGACCCAGATTTGTTTTCTCCAAGTGGTGGCACTATTTGACTATAAGAAACAAATATAGTGAAAAAAAATTAAATATTGGCACCATTTGACTATAAAAAACAAATGTAGAGGAAAAATTTCAAACTGTGACACCATTTGAGTAAGAAAATAACGCTAACAGGATTCGAACTCGAGTCTAGGGTGGAACAAAAGTCTTGCAAACAAATTCTACCGAAAAAAACTTGTTCACATTGTAGTTTCAAAATACATACGATGGCACACAACAGATTGATATGGTTGCACTTTTCACGAACCTAATTTTTTTTACCATTCGATGGAAAAATAATACGGTGGCACGTGCCAGCATTGGCACCACCGTAGGTCCGTCACTGGTAAATCCTCTTGAAAGAGAAAGATGCCTTAGTCTACAACCGGTTATTCGGGTACTTAAATGTTTAAAATTTTACATCTTAGATATCAAAATAAAATTTTAAAAGTACGTTACCCAAAATAGAAATCAAATTAAAGTATATTATTTTTTCATACAATTTAACCTGATATAAACTGTATAAATTATACTCATTATATCTAGATATGAAAGCAACTTCCTGATGACAAAAGTACCATAAAATTCAAAAATAAATTCAGATTTTCCGTTTTTATTTATATATTTTAACTAAAAGAATAAAGGGAAAATAGAGAACTTTGAAAAAGAAAAAGCCGAAAGAAAAAGTTAATTGAAATTACAAAAATACCCTTCAAAGATTCTTGATTATCTCTTGCTAAATCCTCACTTCAGTGTTGTTTCTCGTCATTCTTTCTTCTTCTTCTTCTTCCCAAAACTCTTTCAAATGGACTGTTTTGTCATTTTCCTACATTTCCTAATATTTACACTTTGCACCCTTGTAAAATCTCAATCTAGTCTCTGCAGGTCCTCTTGTGGTGAAATCCAAATCAACTACCCTTTTGGCATAGATGATGGTTGTGGCAGCCCGAACTACCGAAACATCCTCGTATGCTCCGAACCGAACCGTCTCGAACTCCGAACCCCGTCTGGCCGATACCTGATTCGTCGGATTGACTATTCCGATCCTCACATTCTGGTGACGGATCAATCCATGTGGAACTGCCAAGACGGTTCACGTTTCCGACAACCCCGCCCGTTTAGCCTCGACACGAGCATCCATTTCTCGCTATCACCACAAAACGACTATCTTTTCTTCAATTGTAGCGAAAAGGACGTGATCGTCGAGCCGAAACCGATATTTTGTGAACGGTTCCCGGACCGATGCGATTCGACGTGTGACAGTGCGAGCTATTTGTGTCGGCACTTGCCGGAGTGTGGACACGTGTTCGATGGTCGTACTTCGTGTTGTTCGTATTATCCGAAAGCAACGGAGTCGTTAAGATTGATGTTGAAGTATTGCGACACTTATACGAGTGTTTATTGGAGGAATTTAGGGGTGAACCAACCGTATAATACAGCCCCGGAGTACGGGATCAGGATCGATTTTGATATTCCCGTTACGACACGGTGTCTACAATGTCAGGACGGAAGTAAGGGCGGCGGGAAGTGCGGGTTCGACGTAGAAACACATGGTTTTTCGTGCTTATGTGACAAAGGAAACGTCACGACTTTTTGTAAAGGTGCGTTTAATCTTTTAAGCTCGATATATTATATACGACGAATGATCGTGTGAGAATACAAGTTAAGATGAGAAGTATAAAAAGAGATATGGACCCTTGATCACTTTTAATCTCACCCTCATCCCATGAATTGCGCTTATCACGAGAATTGATCTTGTGCACCTCGATGCACCATATTAGTGTTGATCTTTAATTATGATCGATCAAATGGTGGAGATTTTTTTCTTATCCTTCTCACCATAACTTTCATTTTTATCAGAACACAACCCTATAATATATATATATATATATATATATTATAGGCATAATCAAATGAGAACCTCAAAATTGTGATAATTGTGAGAATTTGTACTTTAAGATATTGTTTCACATGTTCGTTTTTCATCTAACGATAGAATTTAAGGCATTGATTAACATATATTTGTTTCACAATGCGTTTTTTATACACGTACTTGTTTCACGATATGAAACATTTTTACATGTATTTTGGTGAACATCAACATGTAAAAATGTTTGGTACACAGATAGAACATGACTGGACTAAATGAGCAAAAACTGTGCAAAGTTTTAGGGTTTTAATTTGACACTGGCAGTTTAAGAATTTAAAAATCTTCTCGTTTCCTAATTTTGGTTCTACCTGTTTCAGTGGGATAAAAAACATTGTCTCATGTTTATGATTTTGGTTCCTTACCCAGTCTAATGTTGCAGTAAACACGACAGTGACAACTTTTTGCCATAATTAAATAACTGACTTAGGGGTTTTCTTCTTGCAGATCGTTCTCATTCTCAACAAGGGAGGAGTTCTCGAGTAATTGTCGGTGAGAAATTTGTATATCGTACGATTTTAATGATGTATTTAAAATGGCAAATTGCATGAAAAAGTAACGTATTTTCAAAAAAAGTTCCATTTTGGTATATAAGATGTAAAGTTTTAAACATTTAAGTATCCGGGTAACTGGTTGAATCATTAACAGGTTACCATACTGATGTGGCCAGTGATGAGATGAAATTGGGTTGAATAGCAAATAATATTGAGTTGGATACTACATTAACATGGTAACCCCAATTACCCGGGTACTTAAATGTTTAAAACTCTAAATCTTAGATATCAAAATGAAAATTTTAAAGATATATTACCTAAAATAGAAATCAAGTTAAAATACGTTATTTGTGTAATAAAAAGATGTGGTATTGAACAGGGAGTGCAACAGCAGTATCAGTGGCGGGAGCAATTGGAATAGGGGCAGGTGTATGGTACTTTAGAAAAGTGAAAGGTGCAAAGCCGGTTACACATGGAGTTCAAACCAATGAGAATAGGCTTTTTTGATTCTTCATTACTTTATATTTTCTTCCCATCTTTCTCCTTTTTTCTTTTTCTTTTTCTTTTTTTATTTTATTCTGTTTTTAATTTTTAATAGTAATTTCAATACAATTCACTCGCTGATTACCTGAAATGCACGAAGTAAGATTGAAGATGCTTTTATTATGTACCTACAAATAAAGGAAAATGATGAAAATAACCATTTTATACAACCTTCTTACACAAAATAATCAGTTTTTAGGGGTTTTACAAAACTAACCACACGGATCTCTCCCGGGGGCGATCCGATGACGTGGCTCGCCCCAAGTGGAAAAAAAGAAATTTTAAATTATTTTTTTGAAGAAAAATGCCGGATCGCCCCCGGGGGAGATCCGTGTGATTAGTTTTGTAAAACCCCTAAAAACTGGTTATTTTGTGTAAAAGGGTTATATAAAATGGTTAGTTTTGTCATTTTTCCTACAAATAATTTACTAAGGGCAATGTCCATCACTAAAAACACAGATATAAAGATCTTTTATTATCCAACCCACCACTATAACAAAAAAAAATAGAGATCATCAAACTTTACTTTTATAATAAAAAAAGAAGACATTTGGCCTAACAGTATTGTAGCATTTGATTTTCTATGAAATCAGGGGTTCAAATCTCATCATAGATGAGGATGGTGTGTTAATTTATTTGTTGCATTTACCATATTTATATACTTTTAAAAAAAACCTTAAGCTTTATATTTAAAATTCAAAATGTTGATCTTTATATCTCAAATATTATTATTCTACTGCTTTTTTTTATTTTATTTTGGTCAATAAAATTTAAACATACATATATAAAACATTTGTACAATAATAAAACATTCAACAAAACATAATTTCATTACTAAAAATTAATAAAAAGAAGAAGTCAAAAAAAACCCAGAATTTAATGTTTTGAATAATTAACTCCTTGTACAATTTTTTGAAACAGACAAGTCCTTAGACATTCCAAAACATGTTAAATAACTTCTTGAACTTTCTAAAACCTGTTAGATATATTCTTATGACTTACACAACTGGTTAATATAGTAAAATAATGAAAATAGTCTGAAAAATACATATACGAAATATATTTTATTTTTAATTAAAGTAAATTTAATCAGTAATCTTTTTTAAATCTTTTTTTATTTTTTTTAAATAAAAAATCACTGACACATATTTT